GGACTAGAACTCTCTGTCTCCTGGTGATTGGCCCAAAGTCACCCAGTTGACTTTCGTGCCTAAGGCGGGACTAGAACTCTCTGTCTCCTGGTGATTGGCCCAAAGTCACCCAGTTGACTTTCGTGCCTAAGGCGGGACTAGAACTCTCTGTCTCCTGGTGATTGGCCCAAAGTCACCCAGTTGACTTTCGTGCCTAAGGCGGGACTAGAACTCCCTTTCTCCTGGTGATTGGCCCAAAGTCACCCAGTTGACTTTCGTGCCTAAGGCAGGACTAGAACTCTCCATCTCCTGGTGATTGGCCCAAAGTCACCCAGCTGCCTTTCGTGCCTAAGGCAGGACTAGAACTCCCTTTCTCCTGGTGATTGGCCCAAAGTCACCCAGCTGCCTTTCGTGCCTAAGGCAGGACTAGAACTCCCTTTCTCCTGGTGATTGGCCCAAAGTCACCCAGTTGGTTTTCATGACTAAGGCGGGACTAGAACTCCCCGTCTCCTGGTGATTGGCCCAAAGTCACTCAGCTGCCTTTCGTGCCTAAGGCGGGACTAGAACTCCCCGTCTCCTGGTGATTGGCCCAAAGTCACTCAGCTGCTGCCTTTCGTGCCTAAGGCGGGACTAGAACTCCCCGTCTCCTGGTGATTGGCCCAAAGTCACCCAGCTGCCTTTCGTGCCTAAGGCGGGACTAGAACTCCCTGTCTCCTGGTGATTGGCCCAAAGTCACCCAGCTGCCTTTCGTGCCTAAGGCGGGACTAGAACTCCCTGTCTCCTGGTGATTGGCCCAAAGTGGCTTGCTTTTCTTTTATTTATTAATATTATAAGATAAGGCAACAGATTCCGCCTGTTTTCTGAAACGGCTTGGATGAACGTGGGGCCCTTTTTAGAATGTTCTAATTAGAAATGATCGCACGAATGAATGGGAGGCAGGTCCTGCGTAGAATTCACACCCTTCCTGATTTATTTGTGATGTTTTGTTTTTGTATTTGATGGCAGAGGGTGCCAATCATGCTTCTTGCCTCCTCAGGTAATTCCCACCTGGAACATTTCTCCCATCAAGAAAGCCAACGAAATCAAGGTGAGCCCTCTTGAGATTTTTTTTTAATTTTTTATAATCATCTTTTATTGTCCTTTTATATGTTGGGAGTAGAAGCCCATAAAAAAATCTGAAAAATACACACATTTGCTGCACTGGTCGGGATGGGTTAGCAAATTCTTTTCTCTGTGGGGGTGCTTGGTGCTCTCTGAGATTGGTGGTTTTCTTGCAAACGTTTCATGACCCAACTAGGGAACATCATCAGTGCTAGAAGGGAATGGGGATTGTGGAGAAAAGGGGGAGGAGGAGGAAGAAGAAGAGGGGGAGGAAGAGGAGGAGGAGAACTGTGGGGTCCTTGGTGCTCTCTGAGCTTGGTGGTTTCCTTGCAGACGTTTCCTGACCCAACTAGGGAACATCATCAGTGCTAGAAGGGAATGGGGATTGGAGAAAAGGAGGAGGAGGAAGAAGAAGAGGGGGATGAAGAGGAGGAGGAGGAGGACTGTGGGGTCTGGCCTGCTCCGCCAATCCACGAAAGCTCCTTCCCCCCCCCTCTTTTTTCTCTCTGGGAAAACTCACCTTTCTGCCCTTCTTCCTTTTTCTTGCCCCCCCACCCTCTCCCCTTCCCCATCGCTGCAGCCCCCTCAGTTTGTCGACATCCCTCTCGAAGATGACGATTCGTCCGACGAGGAGTACCAACCGGAAGAGGATGAAGAAGATGAAACGGCAGAAGAGGTACGCTTTACAAGTGGAGCGGTGTGTGTGTGTGTGTGTTTGTGTAACCGTATTTACTTACTTTCCCTACCGGTGGTTGTGGCCCGCCGGAGCCAGCGGGATGGAGTCTGAATGGAGGTGAATGTTTTTAGTGGCCAGATGCCCTTCCTGTCGCCAGTGCGGAGTTTTTTTTTCCCCAGCAGATATATGCCCAGAGAGAGAAATATCTGCCTCTACCTAGCCTCGAACTCACGGCCTCTTGACTGCGAGGCAAGAGCTCCGCCTCTTAAGGCCACCGCACCACTTTCAGCATTCTCCTTTATGTCCCCCCCCGAAACTGGTGTCTAGAATTACCCCACTGCTGACACCAGAAATCGTCGTTTTTCCCTCTCTCCCTTCTCCATCATTGGAGGTTTTCAAGAAAAGATTGGACAATTGTTGGTCTGAAATGGGATAGGTTTTCCTATTTGAGCAGGAGGTTGGACTAGAAGACCTCTAAAGTCCCTTCCAACTATGCTATTCTGCGATTCCTTCCTTCCTTCCTTCCTTCCTTCCCCATCATTGGAGGTTTTTAATAAAAGACTGGACAGCCACTTGTTTGAAACGGGATAGGGTCTCCTGCTTGAGCAGGGGGTTGGACTAGAAGACCTCTACAGTCCCTTCCAATTCTGTTATTCTGTTATTCTCTCCTTTAAAAAAAAAAGTTTTAATTTTGTTTATACAGACATAACATCTTTGCAACACATTATATTTCTTTTACATATCCATTGTATTTCCTTTATCTGTACCTGTAAATCCTATATCTATCTATCTATCTATCTATCTATCTATCTATCTATCTATCTATCTATCTATCTATCTACCTATCTATCTACCTACCTATCTATCTACCTATCATCCATCCATCCATCCATCCATCTATCTAAATATCTAAATATCTATCTAAATATCTATATCTATCTATCTTTCTGTCTGTCTATCTATCTATCTATCTATCTTTGTA